GTTAATAAAATATAATAACACCTAATGATACCATAATTATTCACATTTTATACTATACAATAAAAAATATAATACCATGAATTTTTTATATCTTGTTTTATTGGTAAACAGTGTAGTAATGGGATAGTTAAATACTTTAAATGTATATAATTAGAAAATCATGTTGTACATAAAACATATCGCAGATGGTTAAATCCTTTGAATTCATATAATATAAAGTATAGGCCTAAGGAAGAAATATGCAATTATTTTTGGAGATTTAAAGGCAGCAGCGGGTGTAATAAAAATTTTAAAAAAACTTTAATTTCTTTCTAATTCGAAATCATTATTGGCGGGCACTATATTTTGTATTTATGTCATCAAAGTTGTACATAAAACACAAGGCACAAGTTGTGTAAAATATTTTCTCGTTTTATTCACCAATTCAATGCTCAACAGGCTCAACCACCGACTAACAAAATAACTAACTGTACAATAGTAATACTATGAATGACAATCCTAAAGAAAAATAAATCAAAAATTCAAACATATCAACAAGTGACAAAATAAAGTTGTATAATATACATTAAATATTTTTGCATGAATAACATGTCATCACGCAAGAAAAATAAATCTAAAATTCAAACATATCAACAAACGAAATGTCATCATAGTTACTTATTTGGCATAGGCCTAGGGCCTATATTATATTAATAACACACATTCTACTGGATCTTTAAACAAATATAGGCTACAGGTAGTTTTAATATTCTGGTTTTAATACGTTAGGCCACGTAAAATAATATAATTGGTTAGCATCCCCGCCCGACCGTCGGAAAAGCCCCCGACCTGAATTTTTTTTTACAAAACACTTAAAAACTCCATCTCCCGAAGGCAATTTATATAGGCCTAGGCTTGTTTACCATCCGTCCGAACGCTAGCCGACTGGGCTTCTCCCTGCAGCTCCATTCCATCATTGCCCTGTCTAGGCCTAGGCTAGCCTAGTCCTTGCTTCTATCTAGAAAAGGCCTAGTTTTATAGTAGTAGTAGTATAAAAAGAGTGTATACACGGTAGCCGATGCAAAGCATTAAGATTTACTCGGGATTAGGTTTATTAGCAAACTAAACTCCGATCCGATGCTTAGGTGTCATGCTTTGTGCAGAAAAGCCAAGTCGGTCAATCAGCGCGTTGGTATTTCCATCACTTTGGAAGTAGACATCCACAGCGCGAAAAAGAAACAAGGAGGAATGCTCTGTGGTGACCGGAGACAAGACAAGACAAGATAAGACAACAAACATGGCTGCGCCCATCAGTTTAAAACTGTGGGGTGTTCACGAAATAAAATTTTAAATATAGACTAAATATTTCATAGGTAGGATAGCATAGATAAATTTATTACTGGAAATATAAAATACATACTGGCGAGATAGTGCATGCGTATATTAGCGAGCGAGCCGTCCGGTCGTCTATTGGACTGCCTACAATTATTTAGGACGGCAACTTTTAACTTGACTGCTTGGACGGCTTGGCCTAATCAGCTCGGCCTAGCCTAATTGGGCCTGATCTACCTTTAGCAAATTCTTTATATTCTTCAAATCTATCGAATGTTACATTAAACTAAAGTTAAATCATATTTACATTTGATAAAAACAACATGAATGTACGTTTTCGTACCAATAATCTGTGGGGATTACTAACGATGGGCGTGGCCCGCCCATCGGCTTAGTGCCATGCCCACTGGCTTCCATTTTGGAAAAACAAAATAGGCCGTCTATTTTGTTTTTCTGACCAATATTGCGCCTGTGTGAACAACAAACCAAGTATGATCCAGTTATAATGTCCAGCAAACACATACTTAAACACAAAGCATGGAATATTCACATGCTGGCACAGTGACGTGATGTTTCCAAACAGCTGGTCCAACTAGATGTCAAAGTGTTTCTCAGCATAAACATAGCACATGATACTAGTCAAACTCATTAACAGTATTCACTATTGAGTATTATCACTATATGTACATATACTCTCTAGTATAATAGTTGTTGAATAAACAATCACAAATAGTAATGAATTGTACAAAATGCCAGTTCAAAAATTATGTTTATGTTTATGAATGGACAATAATGAATTATTATACGACTATGACAAACTTCAATCTTCTTATTTTGCTTTTGTTATTTTTATTTTTAATTTCACATCCAACAGCAATTAAACTTGCCACGTAGGATGGAAAGCTTTATAAACCTATTATCGATATCATCAGTTAGTTATGTAAACATATACAATGTTGCGTGTTTTAAAACTTCATATACAGGCCTTGCCTTTTAAGGCGCGCGAGCGCGATCGCGCTTCTCAAGCCACTCCAAGGAGCGTGAAATATCGCGCATCTACCGTATATTCCGGTGTATAAGCCGCAAATTTTCTATGCGATATTCCCTCCGAAGTTTAGGGTGCGGCCTATACACCAGTCATTAACCTAATCCCAACAAGTTTAGATCGCGGGCCGCGGCGAAAATCAGGCGCTGTCTGTCTAGCTTGGGCCCAAGCTAGCCCAATTAATTCGCCTAGGGTAGGACCGGTTTAAAGGCCTAGTATTTGTAATTATACTCACTACAGTGCTGTACTAGGATTCCTACTACATTTTCCATGACATTCAAGCAATGGTTTGGGTCGTCTAAATAATTATTTTCATAATTTTTCAATTGTGAAACACGCTGTTTCTGTTCGAAACCGCTTCGCTCAAAACAATAACAAACTACTTTTCGGGAATTTTCGGTTTTCAAGGTCACATGAGCAGCTTGATTTATGATGTCGCAACAAAACACACGTGGGCCGGGGTGAAACTTGCTGTTCGACGTCTGGTTCCCGGTGGCTTGTACCGTTATAGAGAGAATATTGATACCGCTATAATTTTAGAATAAAAACTTGTGAAATTAATTTATGCTATAAAAACACGAGTTTTCTTGAAGTTGTAATAATTATTTTACTGGAAAATAATTGAATAAAGGCATACGTCATCTGTGCATAAACTTTGTATCACAAGATATTTCTCAAGTTCTGTTTTGTTTATAAAACGTGGTGCGTGATGATGCATGCTTCGTACAGTGGGCTGTGAGTAGTAATGACTCAGGCATAGTATTACCAATATTTTTAGCCTAATACCGACGATTATTAGTCACCATAATAATAGAATGATTATTTAAAATACATAAATATACTCAATAAAAAGTATTTCATTTTATTAGACTTCATTGATGTTTACAATTTTACGTAGCACGACCGTCTAGCAAGAAATGGGGATTTCCCTAGAGCTGCCTAGTGCAAGAATACGTTGTTTCATTGCAGTAGCCAGAAGTTTACACACATTTCCAGTTGTTTGTTGTTTAATAATCGGCCAAAAAAAGATGAAATTCCTTTATGTGAACATTTGTAAACAATGTCAATGTTTCAAAATAATTAAAAAGCTAACATTATAGGAATGGTTTGGAGCTTAAAAATAGGTGACCTGGATGAATATTTTAACATGCATCTTAAAAATTTTGTCATTGGTGGGAAGCCATTTTTTCCTGAAAGCTCGCCTAAAAAGCACAAGAAGAGCGATTTGAAGTACTCCAACAGCTCGCCAAAAAATATCAAGGAGAGTGGTTTGTAACTCGCCTACGATTTTTAAAAGGCCAGGCCTGCATATATAGGGATTTCATATAGGCAAAGTTTATCTGCTTGCTATAGATGAAGTACATGATTTCTTGTATCCAATTTTGGCCTCTGTTGTTTCCCTCTTCTTTGTTTTGCTAATTTTCCTTCTGACGCTGGTTTTCCATGTTCGACGGAAAAAAAAAAAAAACCTCCCTCCCTACCATGAAATTTGATACCAAAAAGATGCTAACCAATTATTGTTTTTATACCGGTAAATAAATTCCTAATTATTCACTGTAGCCTAGGCCTACATATTTTCTCCTTTTTGTTACGGACGTAATGTATCCAGCTGTTGTATGACCAGGGAGTTGTTATTAGAAGGAGTCACAACAAAATCCTCTCTTTTGATCAGTCTACTTTTCCGACAAGATAAGAAAGCAGAGAGGTAGATAACGACGAGGTTCAATTACCAAATATGAGCATGCGCAGTAAACCTTCTTATGCTTGTGCATGACGAAAAAGCATGGCAACTAGAGAGAGTGTCAGTTATCAACTACACGCTAGCGTCAAACCGATACAACAAATATGCCCCTATATCATTTCCCTGCTACGAAAACATGTTCAGTTTGAACTCAAATTACGTTTCTGTATGAAACTGTAAGAAAATGAGACATATTAAGAAAATGATAGTTAACAAGTTGCATAAACTATTTGTCCTAGTTATAAAATGGAGATACGTGCGGAAAATATAAAATATAGGCCTAAGCTTTAAAACTTATCAAAAACCCATGAAAATTACAAATGACGGTGTACGAACAAACACATATAGCTCCACTTCAAATAGTCGTAACTTTTTAACGAAAAGGCGAATTTTTATGCAGTTTTTTGTAAATTATTCTTCGTAAAACTCTCTTGAGATGCAAATTTATTGAACAGCGAAAATTGAATTTAAAAAAACTCTGCGCATGCTCTACTGGTCGTGTCACGAAATTATTTTCTCTACAAAGACAAAATTTTAACAACTGAGGGCGCAAGATCGTCGGAAAAGTACCCTATTGACAAAAGACAGGCAGCTAGTCACGGTTCTCTTTGAAGATTCAGTACACCGCGCTTCGCTCATTGGCTGTAGATAAGTAGATAAATGTGTTGTGACTCCTTCTAAATAACAACTCCCTGGTATGACTACGTTCTTCTCATTGGCGGCTGTTGTGTATTCGGCGGCCTCTTTGGCGTTCCATACATTTGGCGCAGCGGCTGAAAAGATCGAACACCCGCCTAGTCCTAGCCTAGGCTAGTCCTCTAGCAAGAAACATCATCGGACAACCTAGGCCGGCCTACTTTACTGTCATCGAATCGAAATTGTTATAATATTGTTTTACTGTACCTTTAATAATCCCCTTTACTATTACAACACTCAGCTATTCTCTAAGCCTAGGCTAACTATTCTTTGCTTATTCTGTGCATCTTTCTTCCTATACGTATAAAGACTAGACAGAGGGCGCAGAAGCGACCCTGGGATGATTGGTCACAGAATAAACCATTATGGTTGTAGGTCCTAAGCCCTCCCTAGTATCATATTATTAGATAACAGACATTTTAAAAACTCTGAACGTCAAAGGCTCAAATATAATTTCAAGTAACATATTTTTCAAATGTTATACTTGTATGTAGAATAAGTCTTGCTTCTCAGAGTTTAATTCTAAACGAAAACAAAAGGTAATGTTACACACCCTTCACAAAATTGAAGAATACCATTTAAACTTTAAAGGGGAACTGAAACGAAAATTACCATAATTTTAATGTTAAGTGATGATGTAGAACATAATGGCTATCGTCACTCTGGTTAATTTTTATTTTTTATTACTAATTAATTAAGAAATATATTATTTGGCCAAAAGAGGGCGCTGTAGTCTGTGACGTCGCCTAAGGTCCATCGCGAAAACAGACCGTAAAAAGTGTATAGCGATGACTGCAGATAAACACCGAAGTGGATTTTTATTTGAACCACAAAGACAATATTCTAGTGAAGAAAATGAAAGTGACGATGATATTACTGTAGATAATAGTCTAAACAATGATAGAACGGACAATTTGGACTGGTGCCAATGTGAAAACTGCATTATAATGCCTAGCCGGATCGAGGAACACTGGTTGTAAAATTTTATATTACATATCTTCACAATATATAACTGTAAAATTCACGATTCTGGTCACCTTTAAACTTCCGAGAACATCCTCCTTTTTTTATTTTACGCGAAGTAAGTGGACGTATTGTTTGTGTGTGCTTCATTTGTCTATCAAAAGTATCTACAATTAGTCCAAGTTTATAAAATCAAGACTATGGACAAATAATAATATAGCAATTAGGCCTATTCACTTTTATGTATTACGTTCCTGGCTCGAGGACTAGGCCTAGCCTAAGTAGGTCCTAGCCTAGCTAGGCCCTATGTTGTTGTTAGTTACGCGTGTGGCGAGCACTGAATTGATGGACTCTGGTAAAACAAGACACGGAACGGATGATTTTTTTTATGCAGGTGTAGGCTACGCCCTATACTAAAACCTGGTGGTAGCCTAGATAGTATTATTCCTAGGCCTAAGTACCAGTTAAATACAGAATTAATAATAGTGGCCTAATCATACACTAACTCTGTTTTATGTTCAGTATCCCTATTGCTATTCATTCATTCATTATTCAAGGATTGTGAATTTCAACTGTCTGTACAGATGAGACTGCTGTAGTCAAACTCACAGTGAGTGGAGTGAAAAAGGAGACAACTTGATTATATTCACAGACAGTTACTGGAAATTATAATAATGGCCAGCCAAAAAAATTGTGAAGAAAATTATTCCAGTGGTTCATGGTCTATCAAGTGTAAAGAAGAATGTTTTGAAGTTGATACCGACCATGAATACCTACACGAGCAGGACTCCATGCTTAAACCAATGAGCCCTGACGATGAACTTAATGGGACACTTGCTATAGATGAAACCAATGGGATGAACGGTAGTGTTGATACTGACCTAAAATACAAGCATGAGCCACTGCAGAAAAAGAGCATTTTAGGAACTAATAGAAAACGAGTGCGAAGGTTTCAAATGGGGTGGAAAAAGCAGTATCCTTGGATTGATTACATAGGCGAATTTGATCTTTTTAATGGGATTATGGTATGCAGAATTTGCCGGGAGAACAGGGAACATGCCGATATAAATTCAAAGTTTTTGCAAGGGACGAACACTTTTCGAATCGGTGCCATTGATGCTCATAACATTAGCAGAGGTCACGAAAACTGTGTTGCAAAAAAGTTGATGGAGAGCGTGTGCTTGGATGAATCAATGAAGAATCTGTTAAAAATGAGTGAGGAGTGTTCAACTAGAATTCGATTACGAAAAAAACAAAGAGAAAGGAATAAAAAAATGGTGAAGTTAATGGGTAATCTTGTAAATGGGTCAAACAATGATGGCACAGTAAATGTTTCTGATGAAGATCTCAGTAAAGCATGTGATCAAGAACAGAACAGTTCAGTAGATGGGGGTCTTGATAATTCAATTGGAAAACAATCTCTGAAGAAAATTAGTGACCAGAATGAACCCAGATGTCTTTCAGATTCAAAGCATGACTTCACCCCAAAAAGGCTTCGAGTGGATAAAGATTATGATAATTTAAAAAGAATACGTCGCTTTCAGTCAACATGGAAAATAGAATATCCTTGGCTAGAATATTTTGGAGATGCTGATCTTCATAGCGGCTTCATGGTTTGCACTGTTTGTAGACTTTACCCGGAAATTGCTGATCAGTCTTCCAACTTCTTCTCTGGAACCAGTAGCTTTCGTAAAGGAGGAATTGAATCGCACAACGTTAGTGCAGCTCATCGTGCATGCGTTTGTCGCAAGGTTCTTGATTCAATGGATCAACAGCAACTTGAAACCACTGAATGTTGTGAAAGTTCACATACGATGGCAGATACTGTTTTTTCAGTGAAAGAGTATGAGCCAAAACCTTCTGATATCCAAAAGATGAAAGAATATTTTAGTCGTGGTGATAAAGAGGATTACAAGTATATTGAAGGTGATTATCAGGATGATTTGCCAGGTACATCCAACCAAAACAAATCTAATTACAATGGAACTGTAAGTTTGCTTTCAACGGACAAAAGATACTCGGACACGGAACTTAATAAACAAGTACCAATATTCCAAGTTGAATGGAAGACAGTTTTTCCATGGGTGAGATATATAGGTTCCAATGATTGCTCAAGTGGTGAGATGTACTGCAAACTATGCAGAATGCATCCACAGGTTGCTGACACAAATTCTCAATTATTTAATGGCACCAGTACTTTTTATAAGCATTTACTTGAGGAGCATATGGATAGTAGATCTCATAATCTCTGTGTTGCTAGGCAACTTCATGACGAATCATTAGCAGACTCCACTTTTCATGTACCGCCATCAAAGAATCAGACTTCTTCAGGTCCTCAAGCTAAAATTAGTTGTAAACCGTATACACCTATGTTTCGCCGATATACAGAAAAACGTAGGCATTCTCCAGCCAATCAGCAAAGCAATACAATTAATGAAAGCTTGTATACAAAAGATTTGAACAGTGCAGAAATTCGGTGGCGATACGAGAAAGCCCCAAAAGTATTAGATGCCTTTGATCCTCTATGGAAGGATGAATTTGTTTGGTTGGATTATGAAGGTGCTCCTGATTTGGTCAATGGTGTCATGGTCTGCAAGCTGTGTCAGTGTTATCCTGACGATTCCCCAATGTCAGAGTTTCTACACGGTACAAAACACTTTAGTCGTAAACACTTACTTGAACATAGCACTAGCACTGGTCACAGAGCAGCTGTCTGTTACAACTTTCTAGCCATGCATGCAAAAGAGAAGAAGAGTTCTTTTTTCAAAAGGGCAGCAGTAACAAGTGGTGATCAGATAAGAATCTCTCATGTATCAAAGGCACCAGGTTATAGGTATGTCTTATTCAGAGGTTCCAAGTTGGAAGAACCCATTTCCGGGAGATTCGTTTAATGACATTGGGGGCGCTATATATTATATGAAGTAAAAGTGTAGGTACCAAAACGAAGGGCCTCGCCCACCATGATTGGGGCTGAGGTCAGGTGATGACATTTTTTTAGAATAGGCACCTTTAGAAGCCCGGAAATGGCACTGCCAGATTGCAAAATATAATCGGCAACCAAAGTTTAGCCTAAATAAAATGATTTGTTTTTTACAGAATTTGCACGAGACAACTGAATTTCTGGGAGATTTTTGCTTGCTTGCGGGGGTACGGGAGATCATACTGAATTCCGGGAGACTCCCGGGAGTTCCAGGAGCCTTGGGACCCCTGCTAATTGCTACACTTTATAAAATAGTAGCAAGGCAATGTTCTTAAAAGTGTTGTTGTGTTCAAGTTGTTTTGAGTATAGATGTTTATATTATTCTACCATTATGGAAGCGTGTGGTGCAGCCTGAAAGGCGTTGGGCATTCATTTGGAAGGTCGGTGGTTCAAGACCAGTGCTTGTGTCACTGCTTGTACCCCAGGGGTAAAAATGGGTACCAGGTAAGAGGTGAATGATTCAGAATGAAATTGGTAGTGCTGATTGCACGCATGATTAAGAATACTCCCTAGGAAGCAGTGTAGTTTTCATGTTGTGTTGATTGATTCTGTATCCAATGACCAGTAAAAAGGTGTCTTGAGCAGTTTTCTGGATATTGCACTATATAAATCCTATTGATTTTTAAAATATAGATAAAGACTGGATATCCATCTTTATTGATTCATAATATTTTGTGAATACCATATCCTGAAAATTTTCCTGACAAATAGTAATACCCTACTTTAAGGTGGTAATTGAGCCTGATCTATACTTAGGCATCAAGGTCATTCTGGTCAGTCTGTCCTGAAAGCCATGTCACTTAAGCTTGGTCCTAATAACAGGCCTGCTATTGTTTAGGTACAATGTAGTTTTTAAGGGTATGTTCACACACACACAGCATAAGGCTGGTGTAACATACGCCCTTGTGTGTGAACTAGGCAGTGGCATTAATCAACGCCACTCACAACACCACTGTGGCGTTATTAACACCATGAGAGCAGCTAGCTCAGTCGGTTAAACTGATGGTAGCCACTGTGTGTGTGTGTGCTGAACCGTGGAGATCTTTAGGTCCTCGGTTCAATTCCTATCACTACTCTCCTTGTGGAGGGCTGAAATGCAAGTCTCAAAGAGCCCACCATCTTTCGGATGAGACTTTTAAGCCGTTGTTCCTGTTTACAAAATGGCCCATTTGTATGTTAAAAAATGCAGTACACTCTTCGGAAAGAGTAGGGGATTGTCTCCCGATGTACTACCCATTTCACCACCAGAAGGACACCACTATAAATCCAATCAACCTGCAGATCCCAGATTAGTTAATGCCTTTGATCTAACGCCAGTGATACTTGAATGATTTTGACCTCAGGTCAAGAGATAGACAAATCACAATTAGTTTTGCAATAAACAAGCAAGCTACTCCGAAAGGAAAGTGCCTGTCCAGTCAGTTTCGTTCACGATGTTCTTTGAGGGTATTTATGTAGGCCTATATTGTCATATTGTTTGGAAAAGTCTATTTTAATGGCTAAAACTAGAGTAAGCTGGAAGGCTCATGAAGTCAGGATCGAATTGAGGTCAGAAATTGGAAATCCAGCGGTGACAATAGTAAAGTTGTCTATGGCGAATTGATTTTATATATTTGACCAAAACCAAACAAACAAGCACAGTTTCTGTGTCTATACATTTACACCTCATGAGCTATGAGGTGTAAACGGGATGTGAGAGCCTCTTTCGGTAAATGGGATCCCGTGAAAATGGCAAAAAAAAAGACAGTAAAACGTCAGGCAACATCATCAAAAGCATGTACAACAAACAATACTGTAGCAACTGCGTCTGTTTTATAGTCTTCCCATTTACCCAAAGAGGCTCTCACATCCCGTTTTTAAGGCCAGCATTAACATAGTGAATGCCGTTCGTTTGAATAATTTGGAATTTTGATCCATGGATTAGCTCTAAGGTTTATCAGAGAAAAACCAGATCAAGTCAACAAATATTTTATACTGTATAAAGCAAAATGAACATGATAGCAATCATTATTTTATACAATTAGGGTTTGTTAATGTGCATATTTGGTTTTTTTTAGTTTAGTTCAATAAGATACAATTATATTATTATAGATAGATTATCGGATAGTGCCAATACCGAAGGTAAATCCCCTACGCTGTATCGAAACAGATTTACGTCCTATCTCTTTAATCTCAGTGGCATCCAAGGTAGTTGAGAGCTTAATTGTGGCAAAGACAAGCCAAACCAGTCACTCATCGCAAAAATCGATTTTGAGTTATTAATACAGTGTTAAAGAGTAAGATAAGAGCTATAAAATGCTTAAAAAAATCATTGAAATCCGACATTTCCTTATGAAGTTACAAGCATTTAAACATACAGCTGTTTAAAGAACAATATATGAGAAACCAGCCTTCAAAGTTCATGATTTTGGGCATTTCTCATGCAGAAACTATCATCAAATCCTTAAAAAGTGTTCTTTTGACACTGAAGATGTGGAAAATAACAGCATATCATGATGTATAGATATATAAAGGTTAGATAGTGCAATAAAATAGATTTTTTAAAATTTGACATTCCAGCATATTTTGGCAATTTTCTCTGAAACACGATTTGGGACGAGTGACTGGTTTGTCTTGTCTTTGCCACAATAGTGGTTTCTTGTGGGACCAAATGAAGGACAGGTTAGCGAACAACCAATTTGGGAGTACTAAGGGCATCTCCACAACTGATGCTCTTTATCTCATTACACTTGGCATGTGGCTATTGATAAAGGGGAAGAAGTTTGTGCTCTTCTATTGGATTTTAGTAATGCATATGATATGATTGATCACCAATTGTTAATTAGGAAGTTGAATAATATGAACATTAAACCGAGCCCTTGTGACATGGACTCAAGCGTACCTTACAGGCAGGAAACACAGGGTGAAACTAAAAGATACTTTCTCAGGGGTCATGGGTAGGACCAATCCTATTTGTTGCTTTAATAAATGATCTCCAAACAGATCTACCAATTATGAAGTTGGATGATACCACCTTTTACCAGTCTCTAAATAAAAACACAGTTTGCAAAGTTCAAGATAACATGAATTCTATATCAAAATGGTGTGAAGATAATGGCATGAAACTGAAGGAGGAAATATTGGTTGAGCTGCGTATCACATGTAAAAGGGCCCAACTGAATTTGACCCAATCACTGTAAATGGGTCAGAAATCTCATGTGTTGACCATGCTAAATTACTTGCCGTCAACCTTTTCCATAACTTATCATGGCAAGCACATATTGATTCTGTTAAGCGCTTTGCACCAAAGCTGTATTTTCTAAAGCAGCTCGAACGATCTGGACTATAGATGAAACAGAGCTTCTTCGGTATTCCAGGCAGTGATAAGACATGTCCTTGAGTATACCTGTGTTGTTTGGTCCACAAGTCTATCTAAAGTTTTTATTGTGTATTAAATATTGTTAATTGTTAATGTTACGATAGACGGCAAGCATTGTAATGCAAACCTACTTTTGCGCATGTTGGTAATTTTGTCGCCCATTAGTCACTCTTTGAAAATACCTTTTTATTGTTGACATTATCTGCGCTTCATTGGAAGTACATGTCATTGACAGCAAGGGAAACGTAGCCAAGGGTACTACATAAGTGCCAGATTTAATACCGTATTTCTAATCATAGATGTCATACAGTATATTAAAAACCCTCTTTTAGGACACTTCTTCTAATCACAGGACTTGTTCTACCCATAAATATGGTACAGTAGTAAAGGACTAAAAAATCCTGATGTTTTATTTGGCCAGTAACAAGTAACAAGTGTTGGTTGATTTTTGATTGATAGATAAATTCAGTTTGCACATTTATTTACATACATTTCAAATTTATCACATGACAGGCGAATGATTAAAAGAGCTGTAACTATGGAGGAATTCAGTGTAATGCGTGAAATGGCGAGGAGTGCCATTGATGATGCAGCAGAAGACTTGAACACCATTAGTCAGGAGATCTGGTCAAACCCTGAACTAGCATTTCAAGAACACCATGCTCATAAGATCCTAACTGACTTTCTGGAGAAGCAAGGCTTTGAGGTCGAAAGGAACTACATCCTTGGCACAGCCTTCAGAGCAACATGGGGCACGAACGGTGGCATAACTATCGGAATCTTGTGCGAGTACGATGCCCTACCAGGAATTGGACATGCCTGCGGACATAATCTGATTGCTGAGTGCGGTGTAGCAGCTGCATTGGGACTTAAAGCGGCTCTTGAGTTGAATTTGGTCAAGGATCTCAATGCCAAGGTAGTACTATACATTTTCTGTGATTACCTTTACTTAATTTATTATATTTAATTGTATCATGATAACAAAGAACATGAAGTACTACAGTAATTACATATTTTTAATTTAAGCTTTAATTCTAATTTCTGATTGATAATATAAATGATATAATCTCCATCAAGTACAGTACACTACGATGCAGGCCAAGTAAGAAGATAGTTTTTGTTGGTATAATTATATATATTCAATTCAATTCACAGTCACATGTGAAACATAATGTACAGAATTACAACAGAACATTAGAAGCAGAGTTTGTTTATAAATTAATGTGTTCTTTTTTAAATTATTCAAGTTGAATCAAGTCAGTACAGAATAGATCTCGGTGAATAAAAACAGTCAATTCTTAGTCAAACTCAGTACTAAATTCCAACAGTATTCTAGACCTTAATGGGTGGGATATAATATACAAATACTGTATTAACTGCTCATGAGGGTAACAGTGAAATCTATTGCTCCAAAATGATGTGGAGATCGTAGTCTACTATCGTCCTGAGGGCCGAAGGCTTGAAGGAAGATAGTAGGCTATTCTCCACATCTTCGAGGGGCTCCAATTTCACCGTCCTCTTTATCTAGATCGGTCAGTAAATGTTTGTTTTATATATACTAACTCATACATGGATTCTACGAGGCCTAAAATAATGTAATCAAAAGAGTACCGACATTATAAGTGGGGCCTGAGATTACATCACAATTAAAGTAAAAAATTACTATCATTTAACAAGCTAGTATTAGTATTACAGTACTTATTTTCCCAAGGAATTTATTAATTATCATTAAATCTACATCATACTACATCATAGGAATGGTGGTTGAAGTTATTCCCCGCTTTTTAACCAATCTTCAGATTCCTGGAATCTATGTATGTGGTATATAATATAAAATCCTTAGCATTCCTTCAGGGTTAGCCTATTGGTGGTATAAATAGTAAAGAAATAGGATCACTCTCTAGAGACACACTCTTTACCTACTTTCAACCTGGCACAAGTTAACTCCACATTAACCTCCAATTCATAAATTTTACTGTTGTGCAGAAGGGTGTTTGGTTTCTTAGTTCCATATGTTTGTTGTAGCTGTGTCTAACCTTTGCAAGCCATGATTCACTGCTCAAGATATGCACCATAAGGAATTCAGTGGTAGTACTGTAGTTTAGGGTAAATTGTAGGGTATACTATGGAGGTGCTTACTAGGGATAAATCCCAACAGAGTAGACGTACAGCTCCCGCTGAGGTCATGAACCCTAGATACTGCAGTATAGTACTAAAAATATAAATGCCCACTGACCAACCCTGTTTTTTACATGTCACTGTTCATGGGCAACATAATGTTTTTGTCTCTGCATGCCAAAGCATTTTAATTGATTTGACATATGGATTTTTTTTTACATATGGATTTGTTATATTTGGCGTGTGGTACAGCCTATTAATTTGTAGCTACTGTAATCTTTCAATATATACTCAATACTGTACATCAGCCTAGGCATGTTTTGGAAAATATTGAGGTATAAGAGGAATGAAAAATAATATTCTTCTTAACGTGTTCCGTCTTGCAACATTACGCTTTCCACAATTTGTGTCCATTTGTTTCTTTTCAAAGCAGAATGATTTGGTGTTAACATGTCCTTCCAAGTCATTTTAATTTGGCTCATCCAGTTATTTTTGGGTCTTCCTACTGGTTGTTTTACTTTCCGTTGTAGCTTTTCCATTGTTTTTGGACTGGTGTTTCATTCAGGTGCGTAACAATGGTCTTGTGTAAGGGGGGTGCAAAGGTAAAAATTAAAAATTTTCCCGGTTAGTAATTTATCATACCCACCAAACCCCCCCACCCCCACATATAGAAAACAATACGACATAGGGCTTATCTTATTTATAATATAGGCCACACGTGTGTTTGAAACTAAATATAAGCATTTTCATCATGGTTTTATTTATTACAAACATATTCTTTCACCATCAATGCACATTGAGGCCCTTCTTTTAGGTAAAACGATCGTCTTAAGCCAGTTTTCCACTAGGCGAATTTATTCGAGCAAATCGAAGGCATCGGTTCGGTTCCTGAGCTCTGATTGGCTGAGCATATTTTTTCGCTTCGCAAAAAGTAGAAACTGTTCGAAGTGAGTGCGCATGTGCATGAACGACGCCTTCGATTCGCGTGAATAAATTCGCCTAGTGGAAAACCGGCTTTAAATGTTTTTTCTATTTGAGTTGGGACTATGTGTTCAATTAACTTAGAAGGCAAACGAGGACAAGCACAAGTTCTCACCCTCAAAAATGCACGCAAAGCGCACAACATTTTTGAGTTTAGGGAATTATGTTATATATGGCCACACACGTTTTTTTGAAACTGAATATAAGCATTTTCATTATGGCTTTATTTATTACAAACATATTCTTTCACCATCATTGCACAATTGAGGCCCTTCTTTCATTTAGGTAAAACGAGCTATCTTAAATTTTCTTTCTTGAGTTGGGGACTATTTTGTGTTTAAATAACTTAGAAGGCTAGCCCTAAAAACCCTAAAAAAATTTTGTGTTTTTAATTCTAATTTCGTCGGAATTGATCAAAACTCCCTAAAATGTGCAATTTTTAGAGGAAAATTGGCCCACTTTTACAAGAAATGTGCGCAAAGCGTGCAAAATTTTAGTCTTTTAGGCACTTTCAGGGGGTGAAAAGGGCATCTTCAAGGGGTAGGGAAAGATTTTCCACAGATGGATGTTTTCCCCCTTGTCCCCCGGTGGTTACGACACTGCGGAGAATATCTGGCAGCTTAGATCAAAGAAGCTATGGACACTTTTTGAAGTGGAGAAGGGGTTGCAGGGTGTTGTGAGTCTGGTCATTATGATATCTTCCTTTTTATTCTTGTCTTTTTTTTTTTCTCTTCTCTTTTTCTTTTCCTTTCCTTTTCTTTCCCCTTCTTTCTCTTTCCCTCCCTCTCCCCTCTTTCTTTTCTCTTATTACCCAGCCCGTTACGAGGGCTTGGTCAGCCCGGTCAAAACTGTCAGGGGGGAACAGTCTGTTACATTTTGTTTTCTCTAGTCAGTTGTGTTTCAACCTACAATTTATATGAGGTTGTTTGGTATATGGTGTTTGACCAACAGTACAGCGATCCTTGCCCTCAAGGAGAATAGTATAGTAACCACCATTTCCTCTGACTCATAACAACCTCGTTACAGTAACCGCCTAGATTATTTAATAACCGATTACTCCACAGAATACGCATTTTCAGTCTAAAATATGATAAAAGTCTACAGTTACAATTTACAATGCACTGTACAATAGTTTTTAAAAATTAAGATTTCTCATTTCATTCCGATCTCACGGAAATGCTTTCTTCCATCTTGTGATCCCATCATGACCAAAGGCCTAAGAGTGCACTATTACTCGCCTTTATTTATTTGTCAATGATAATATTTCAGATAGTGTATTTAAATGGTTTAACCCCTAATTTTTCTTAAATAATTATTTCAGTTCAATTTCATTTTTGTTCAAAAACCATCAAGGGCCAATATCCGTTATATTCACAAATACACCATGATAATTTTTTTTTAAATAAAACCCCCCCAAAAAAACCAAATAAAACATTTTATATACAGTATCAACATGTAAATAGATTTTCAACAATTGAAAAACCTGTCAAAAAAATTAATGCAAACATTTTATTTATCTTCTTCCCATTCAGATTGTTGTACTAGGAACGCCAGCAGAAGAAGGAGGCGGAGGAAAGTGTGCAATGATAGAGAAGGGTGCCTTTGATGGATTGGACGTGGCGTTGATGGCACATCCATATGCCTACAACGTCTCACGACCACAGGCTCTGTCAATGTTGGAGTAAGATAATCAAGCTTCAATATATATATCCATTATTGTGTGTTGTTAATTTTGTTACCATTATTTGTATTGTTATTAATACCGTTTATTCTCATTTCTAAGGCTATCTGCATATAAGACGACCCCAAGTTTGTGAAGATTATTTTACACTTTTTTATATCTGATAAAAAAGTTGTCCCGCGCCTCCCGTTTCACAGTCGAAATTCCTCCTTTCGATACGACCACTGGGACCAAGTCAGCATTTAGCCTACAATTTGCCATACAAGTCCACGGTTTATGCTTCGTAAAGTTCATGGATTTCATTTTATCAGCATTTAAAAAGCATTAATTCAAATTTAACTGACAAATTAAACAACACTACAGTGTTAAGTCACGATACCATGTGATACTATACTCTGTTGCTATCGGCGACAGAAAATGCGTTCAACAGGACGCCATTTTCTCCACTGACAAATCATTGATCCCAATTTCTAAGATAATTATTAAGGTGTTGTATCTTAGTTTTTCGTTATTTTAATTGATGATTAAATGTGTGTTCGATAACTAATATAAAGCAAGCTTTTGTGTTTTTAGTACATTTTGAGGGTAAATTATTAGGTTTTAAAATGCCTATTCCAGAAAGCCTATTCTAACCCATTAAGATTATGAAGTCATTCAGGCCTAATGAACACTGAGTGCAATTAGTTTTTCACTATAGTCTGCTATGGTGCATTTATTGTCCATCGCTACACAATTATTGCCTATAGCCAAAGCATTGCATTATTCATTTCCAATAAGCAGAAATTGCATTTGTCTCTCAGTGCCTCTATGCATTCAATGAGGTATAATTACAACCATGGTAATCATAGTACTGAAGCTCTGTCCAGACTTTTCTTGACAAAAAACATATGTATGCCTGTATATAGTCATGATGTTATATATGAGGCTTGCTATCCCAAGAGCAGAATCAGTGACCAAAGAAATTAAAATTGACTTTTTAATATATTCTTATTCTCCACAAAGTATAATCTTTAAAATGAGAGGTGATTTACTGGAATCAACTTACTATTGCCAAAGTTATGAGTAATATAGTATTATGGCTTCTCTGTACTGAACTCTACAATACTGCCACAGTCTAATTACAGTGCACCCTCTGATTCGAGACCCCTCTAATTCATTGCCACTTTTTCAAAGAACTAAATAGCAATCTTCAATCTAACACAAAGCTAATCCTCTAATTGAAGACTGAACCCTGAGACCACCCCAAAACTTCAGATCCCAATGTGGTCTCGAATTGGAGGGCGAACTGTACTCAGTTTAACATTTATCGACAGACACCGGTTTTTGGATGGCAAACCTGATATGGTCATAATGTGATGTCATCATGACAATATGTAGGCATGTCATGTTTTTGTCAAACAACATTTCATAATCTGGACAGGGTAATCAATCATAATTATTAATATTATCATTAAGTTCTGCACAATATGTTTATCTGACATTCTGTTTTAAAATTTCAGATTAAATATTGTTTACCATGGAAAATCAGCACACGCAGCTGCTGCACCATGGGAAGGGGTCAATGCGTTAGATGCTGCTGTATCTTGCTACACTAGCATGTCAAACCTCCGACAACAGATCAAACCAGATTGGCGCCTCCATGGTCAGTACCTTTACAGAAAAACATGAGTTTGAATCTTGATGTGAAAAATACATTTCTCTATGAAAATTTGCTCATTTCAAAGAACCACATCATTCGATCTTCAATTCAATTCTAAGTTTACTTTCACTTCCATAATATTGATGAGCAGCAACAACAACAAACAACAATCCATATATTGTCAAAATAAAAATCGAAATTTTTCAAAATTTACAAGTGATTTCTGTTATATTCAAACATTTGTGGAAACTCACTATTTTATCTTGCCATTGCATCTTAGGACATTGATTTTTTTTTTTTTTTCAACTCAATATTTCTTTTCTAACCTTTTGCGCAGCCATTTATTTTATGTTTTTTTTTTTATCGTTTTGGAATAAAGTACAAAAATGCAAACAGAGCTGTCATCCAGCTCAGTAATACTATTAGGAAATGCTAATAATTTAACACAAAAATACATCCATAACTAGGTTAGCAGCAACAGTCAGAAAACCATTATTAATAAACATTTCAAAAGAACTATAAAATGAAAATTAGAAAGTATAAATATTGTTTAATAAAGAATAAATAATTAATAAATATATGAAATGAAATGTTCCATCTATTTTAGGTATTATCACAAATGGAGGTCTTAAGCCAAATATTATCCCAGATAAGGCAGAGCTGCTGTACTATTTGAGGGCACCAGATGAGGAGAACCTAGCCGTGTTGAAGGAGAAGGCCATAGCCTGTGCAGAGGGAGCAGCTAAGGCCTCTGGTTGCGAGGTAATTGATCTATTTTAGTTGAAAACATCTGTTGTATATGAATTTTATCCTAGATACATACATAATTTTAAACCAATAAACACCATCAGCAATAAAGTCATGTGACCTTTGCTGGGTGCTACAGTAGATTGTGGATAAACACGCGAACAATATAGTATTGGTAGGAATATATAGTGTTGGTTGTTAGGAATGCCAGTTAACTATTTTAATATGTTAATGCTTTAAAACATACTCATTGACAGATCCAGAGAGGGGATTCCGTAAAAGGCAGCTGCAACAAAGTCTTTTAACTTGGAGGTTAAAATGGGTAGCGAACACCTCCCAAACCAACCCTATTCCCTCAAAACATATGTGGCAAAGACAAGCCAAACCAGTCACTCATCGCAAATCGTATTTCAAAGAAAATGGCCAAAAACATGCTGGAATGTCAAATTTAAAAAAATCTATTTTATTGCACTAAACTAACTTTTATATATCTATACATCATACTATGCTGTTATTTTCCCCATTTTCAATGTTATAACAATACTTTTTAACGATTTGAAGATAGTTTCTGCATGAGAAATGCCTGAAATCATAAACTTTGAAGGCTGATTTCTCATATATTGTTCTTTAAACAGCTGTATGTTTAAACGCTTGTAACTTCATAAGGAAATGTCCGATTTAAATTATTTTTTTATCATTTTATAGCTATTATTTTACTCTCTAACAAACACTGTATTAATAACTCAAAATCGATTTTTGCGATGAGTGACTGGTTTGGCTTGTCTTTGCCACATATGTTCTAGGCTAGCACTTTGTTCCCCCAGCAGAAACAGTCCTGGATCTCCCACTGATACTGCCACAGAATTTTGAAGCTCCTTATCAAATTCTCTTTATGAAGATGACAGTGGTGATAGTTCAGGTGGTGGCCATATTGGTTATGCTCAGTAGCATATCTTATTGGGAGAGCGAGAGCATAATCTTATTCCCTTAAAAATAAAAAAAACCCCCGTCTCCCCCAGGCGACCCCTACTTGAAATTCTATGAGCAAAGTATTTACACATAATAGTTAAAATTCATCTCATATCATATCTCATATTTCTTTTGGTATCGCAAGTGAAACATCAAAGTTGGAAAGTAAAAATTGATATTTGATATAAAAAATGTTTCCTTAACTTTAACAAAAAATATATACCAAAATAAATAACAACATATAACAAAACTTGTTTCCCATAGGTTACCTTATTGTTCAAATCTGTTGCAATTTCAATGAACAATAACTTGCACCTTAGGTACCTCTATGACAAGCACCTACAGGTTGTAACAGAGGGGATTACAGACACCACCCTCTTTGAGAAGTACGTAGAGATTGTACGAGACAGGAAAATAGGTTCCAAACTCGGCGCTTACAGTGACGCGTCCAGCGAATCGGCTGTTTGTGAATCGATTGGCCATGTTGAACTGTCTAGGAATGTTATTAGTTTAATCGTTACATTTACGGTTGATGATGATGCAGTATATGGCACACCAGAATTTGCCGAAGCCTGTGGTATGACTTCCGCTTTCTGTAAAGTTCCTTGGTGGGCGTTTGGGAACACAAAATCATGGTTGATAATGTTTTATGTGTCTTGTCAGAAGACACTGGTTGTAACTTTAACATTTTACTTGAGGGTTCTATTTTTTCTACAGGAACTATCCTATTAAACATGCTTGCACATTTTGAGTATTTAATATTACATAACAGGGTTCTGTATTTTTTCTCTGCGGATGTTGCATGGTTATATAAGCGCCAAATATATGTTAACATTCTCAAGAGGGTGCTTTGTCTTCTCTTCATTTGTCGTAGGTCGAAATAAAACAACCGTTACATTATAAAAACCTTGTTACTAACTCAGTCTTGATATCACTGTATGAGAGGCATGCTGAGAGTCTCGGAGTTGACTTTTCTGGATCCGATTTTGCTCATACAAAACCTATCGGGTCAACTGACATGGGCAATGTGACCTACGTAGTACCCGGGATTCATCCTAAATTTGATATTGTCACCGACGCCCCAAATCACTCAACTAAGTTCACTGAATCTTCAGGTATGCATTTAAAGGTATACAGCCACCAAAAAATACAAACCTCAAATATGAAAATATAATTATGAATTGCTCTTTTAAAAATCATATAAATTATCAAACTTTCATCAAAAGTCAAACGTTTAGCTATCAAAACCATGTAAATCATGCTATGTAAAGAATATAGGAATAATATTTTTGAAATGCTTGCAAATTAGTTTTAAAAATTTTATTAGTTGAAAATTTGCAAATTAAGCAATTCATTTTTTTTATATACATATTTTCAAGTTTATATTTGATAAGGGTGGCATTATATCATTAATCCAAATGGAAAATTTATATAGTGATAGTTGGTTATAATGTGTTGTTGATCTCATTGAGTTGATAGTACCAGAGTACAACCTAAGAAAGGGCTCATTGAGTAGTGTTAAACACAACAAGACGTAACTGTAAACAGCATGAGCCATTAATGTCTAGAAACTTACATCAGGCATAATTATAACTGGCATAATTAATGTGCTTCAGTACAAGGGGTTGGTGCAACATTTGTCTCTCGAACTCTTTACCTTGAGGTCAGGGGTTAGGCAAGGCACTTTATCTACATAGGTCTCTCTCTACCCAGGAGAATAAATGACTACTGGCTTATGCTGGGAAGCTAAAATAGACTGCTGTGCGTGAGGACTGGCGAACCCCCACAGCCTTGGACAGTCTGGCCCAAACGCCAAGGGGCGAGAGACAGGCTTTCTGGTTTGTGAGCCCACACTGGAAAAAGCCAATTTGGGGAACACTACTTTTAATAAAACAAAAAAAAGTATCTTGACAGTCTGAGAGTACCATTACTGGGTGGTGCCCATTGCTGAAATTGGCTCGCCTCAGCCCCAGCCAATGTGGGTCTGAGGTGGGTGTGAACCCTTGTCAGGGACATTTGGCTTTTCATTGACTAATCACCAGGGCCACTTCTGTTTTAAACAGCCATTTTGTAACAAGTTCCCAAGTTTTACTTTTTGAGGAGCATTTAGTATTCAAAATAACTCTAATATATTATAGTATAATACGTATAAATATATGTTGCATGTTGGTTGGAAGTGAATAAAGAGTGCGAATGTGCATAATTTATTGTGGTCAACAGATGTTTCCTGAATCATATTCTAATCATTGCATGTTGCATAAAAACCACAACCTGTGCAATTTGCAAAATTTGTTCAGCATGTTATTATTTTACATAACATTGAACACATGGCTATTTTACAATTTACTAATCAATAATAATAGCAGTATAAAATATTCTTGAATAAATGATAATATGCATAATATTATTTATTTATTTCATATAAAATAGTACAGTCAGGGGCTGAAATTATTTATGTCACAATCTAATCCAAGCTTATAAGGCATATCAAATCAAGATAAAAGCTTGACTTAGTTACTAATGTAAATTTTTTGTCTATAATATATTATGCATTTACTAATTTGTTCTAATATCTACTTGTTCACAGGGGCCCCAGAAGCCCAGGGTCCTACTCTGATCCAGGCAAAGGCACTTGCATTGACTGCCCTGGATCTAGTACATCCAGGCAATGAAGGATTGATTCTTAGTATTCGTAAAGAATTCCAAGAGATAGAGAGGCAAGAAGAAGTCAATGAAGTGGTAGCGGAAGTGGTGGAGGAGACCCAGGAGGAGAGCAATGAAATAACGTCTTAAGGAGAAAAACTTGAAAAAAAAAATACAAAACAAAATAGAGAATTTTTTCAATTAAAATATTAAACTGCCAACATAGAAAATAAACGAAATAATTCTATACATAATTGTATGTATTGTTTTAACAAGGGCTGTGAATGATCAGTTTCTTCCAAAACTTGATTAGCCACTCACATTAACGATTGTGGAATAAATGAATAAAATAAATAATAAATAATACTCATTAAATTTACATTTAAATAATGTATGGAATTTCAAAATATTAATCAAAATTATTTTTTGGTCATAGATTGACTATTTTTATCATATATCTTATAATATATTTTTCTTATTTTTTTGGAATAATATTATGGTGCTGATAAGTTTTGGATCAATATATTTAATTAATGTAAAATCATTTAAATAATATTTTCACAAAATGTTTAAATTCATGGTGTTAATTGCCTCAGAAAGAGACAATTTCATTTTTGTTTCATGTTTTTTTCATTTTTTTCATGTAATTTGTCAGTCCTACTGAATTCATTTACATTTACATTGTTGGTCATGTTTTCCAAACGGAATTGTCCTTTTCCTATAGGAATTATTAAATGCCACACTCACTGGATGCTCCTGGTTTGTTTGCCAGGGGGTTTTGTAAAAGATGTACGGGTATATATTAAGATAAACGGCTAAGATATAGATTGATAGTGAGTAATACTATGGTTTTGAGTCTACTGGATTTTAATTTGAATGCGAAGCTTTCACTGATAAGTTAATAGGAAGGATATATAATTATTTCAGCCATGCTTCTTTCATATTGTATTTTAATGCATAAGGAATGTAACATGTTTATGTTATTCCATGTCCAGGCATTAACTATGTGCTTTACTAGGCTGCAAGGCCTAGGGTGAGATATGCATGTTTCCAGTGTGGCCGTGGAGAATGTGGATATGCTACAAAATTGGGTAAAGAGTATGGCTTGGCAAAATCAAAGAACCCAACATGTCATGGATATATTTTAATTTGAGCAAGGAATTGATGCAATATAAACTTAATAGGATATGTATATTATTAATGTTTTGCACTTTAAATAGTATAAATATTATATGGCAGGTTAACAAGGTAAATGGAATTTTAAGAAATAGGAAAAAAGTATGATGAAAAGTGTATTCCCAGAGAACGCAAGTCCATGGATATTGTTCTATTCAATGGTCCACAGATTAATATCAAATCTTTCAATGGAATATGTTTATACAGTTTGCATGAAGAAGTCAGATTTTTTATTAAAGCATGATTCATCACATCGATTATTATGAAAACAGCAGTTCCAATAAAGTGGTATATACAAGAATTTTATAATTGTGTCTGAACATATATACCGTATTTCTTTCTTCTTGTTATTATCAAAATTATTTATTAATAGGTACAGTACCTTGTTTTGCAATGTTTTCAGCCCACGACCCTGAGGTTCAAGATAGCTTTTATTGTCCATTAAAAATAACAGAATCATTTGATAACAAACAGAAGTTCAAAGGGTGCATTCAAAGCCCAATTTTAAAATCGCTGAACATATAAATTACGTAAAAGCTTATAAATAGAAATATATAAATATATATATATATATATATATATATATATATAAATGCTCATAATAACAACATTCTTCTGAATCTAAGACACACAATTTGGATTCGTCTTGAATGTTACTCAAGTTTAAGTGATTGTGCGACTCATTAAACTTCTCTTCTATTCAAACATTGGGTCGTGGCCCATATGTTGCAGAAAAAATTACTTGCAGAATTTAGAGTATATAAATCTGTCCAATTTACGTTGATAAAACAGTAGTATGCCCACATATAGTCATTAAGTACTTATATATGGTCGTGATGAGTGATGTGACATTTTTTCAAATAAAATGTTATATTCGGGACAGCTTTTACACAGTGAAAGTGTTTGTTGAGAACACCAACATTGGTACCCGGGACATTAGTAATGTCTGTAATATAAAAATAATAAGTTTGTTGCTATTAAACTACAGTGACTATTTTGAATATTAAACAGGATAAATAACAAAAAATGTTTATTTCTCTCTAAAATACAAAATTGCACATTTTGTGACGGCGAAAAAAAAAGGTTCGTTCCAAAAGGCTTTATTGTAGGCTTACGAAATGGAAAAAACTGTACTGACAAGTGCACTAGCGGAATTAAAAAAGGAAAACTTATGGGCATTAGCATCTAGCAAATAAATTGAGAAAAATAAAAACGCTTTCATAATTCATGAAAATGTGCAACGTACAACATTTTATACAGAAACATTTAATTGAAAGCAGTTATTTTTACCTAATAATGGAGAACAATGTCATCAAAAATAAAAACCATTCTTCTGAAATCTTTCAAAACATAGAAAGCAAAAAACCAATTTTAAAATATTATTCTAAAATTGGTTTTTTGCTTTCAGTGTAGATAAGGAAGCTTCTGTTATACTTGGAACATTTTTAGTGATACCCAGGCAACAACAAAAGCAGTGATGGGTTCATAAAGAAAGGCGCTACATGATTTAAAATGATGCTCAAGACGTGAAATTTATGCTTTCAAAATGATGACTGTCTAGCACACCGTTCCGCAACCTTTTTAGCCCGAGACCCAAATCCATATATTTAATGCTCATCCGCGACCCATCGAACTCTGGCCAAATTATCTTGAAAAATCTCGGCCAAAATAATAAATATGATATTGTGGTCAGGTTTGCCTTCTTTTAGTCGGTTTTGAGTTCATTGTTTCCTCACATTACCATATTTAATAATTTTGTCTTAATTTAAAGAGTTGTCATTTAAAAGTAAAACATATGAATACCTAGTTATACACCAATTAGAAACTAATTCCTCCATGGTTATACCTTGTTATTTTGCTTCGATATTATAGATTCGAGGACGTCCATTTACCTTTTGACCACTTGCAAGAGATATCGGTGTTCACGCTGGAATCACGCACTTGATTATTTTGTAAGTGTTTAAAAACACCTTTTCACAGATAATTAAATGACACTGATAAGTATTAAAACTTTATTTGAAAAGGAATAGCAATATTTATCGGAACATAAAACGATTCTCACGCAGACAAAGAAAGTTATTCTGTACCATCGTTAGAAACAGAATAACCCTTTTGGGAATTAAAATCTAAAAATAAGTGTACATTGTACAATGGCGTGTGTCACACCTAAAATTATCATTAATTTAATACAGTAGGCCTACCTAGGCCCGTTTGTGGAATATTTTACTTTTCGAAATCGACAGAAAATTAATGCAGTCTGTTCCGATACTTGGACTTGAGATATGAACCATAATTCTCGCACATACGACGATCCGCATATTTAGACGATCCCCGATTTTGAGAAGTTTTTTAGAGGATTTTTGTATGTCAGGCATACTTCAGTACGGTAGTAAATTCGCGTACACGGAGAATCCACACCACCTCAGCCCCAACATGGTTGGGGCTTAGATGAGAAAAGTGACAGAATATGGACCTCAAGGTGCCCGGAAATTGCACTCTCACACTTTTAAAATCTTACTGATACTATATTTTTAATGATAATACAATTTAGGGGGGTGCGATGGCACCGTCTGCATCCACCCTTGACTCGAGAATATAAGGAACTCAGATTGAAATTCAGCCTCACACATCCACGTTGTCGTCGTGAACGGCATTATAAACTTTGTTGTAACCTGGCTTAAATCTTCATACTTTTTTTTTTCTACTTTTATCCAAAGCTTTACCTTACTCCTGTTCATATTATTCAGAACAGGAATGTATTATTCGCTCGGTAAATTCATCTGAGTTCGGTCCCGTGTTCAGTAATTCTTTTGTGTCGGCACTTTCGTTTGTTACCATCATTTTTTTGTTTATCTGAAGCGATTGCGCGACCCAGATGCAATAGTCCCCAGACCGCGTCCAGTGCTCCATCCCCAGACAACTGTCAAACAGCTTATCCCCACCCTGGGATGACCACAACTATGTGTAGAATACGCATACTGAATAGTGGTTGCTGATTAATAAAATCGAATCAAATTGATTTCACTTGCAACCAACATGGATAACATACACAATTCAATCAAAAAATGAAACAGACAAAACAAAGAAAGCAAGGGTTGCTGAGTGGGCATAAGCCCATATCAATAACTCCCCTAATATTATTAATACAATTGATAAAAGGTAAGCATAAGACGGCACAAAACAAACTAAGATAATTGATGTTAGTGTACCGTATTCTTTCTTTTTTTAGGTAGAATTAGAAGTATACGGCCACACTAAAAATCTTGTTTACAATGACGGTCTGTCAAACTTGTATGAAGACTGTGCCAAGAGTTTATGGAAGGATGCCGTAGCAGATACTCGGACATTTGGGTCAACTGATATGGGCAACGTTTCTCACGAACTGCCCAGCATACATCCTATGTTTGGAATTGGAACCCAAGCTCCAATCCACTCTGTCGAATTCGAAAAAGTAGCAGGTAAGTTAGTGATCATATAAATGGATTAATGAATATATAAATTAACAAATAATAGGCAGAAAAATTAGTTTTTATTTGATACACAATTAAGTGAATTAAAAAAAAATGTTTATAAAATTTGAAGTGAACTGATAAAGGCAATGAATGATGCTGGTGGTGGTGATGATGGCTGATTGTTGGTATGATAGGATCGTCAAACGCCATTTTCACTCGAGCTCCTGTGAATTCTGTTCCGGCGAGCTCTCAATATGGGAGCTTCAAAGTGCTGGAGAAAGGACTAGAGTAGCATTGACAATGGTTTCTCAGCATTTATTCAGCATTTTCTGTTACTGTTAGGATATTTTATGCTTTTATTCCATTTCTTTTGTTTATTTTGTGTAAAGCGCTTAAAAGCATTGTTTATTATTATTATTATTATTATTATTATTATTATTATTATTGACATATGATTATAAAATGATAGTAATGATTATGATGTTGTTGGTAATGATGGTAATATGACAGAAATTACTGTAGGTTGATGATAGCAAGTGATGGTATAGTAATGTGGTAGAAGTGGTTGGCGCATCGGTTGTGGTTTCGACTCCCAACCTCGAGGTCGGGGGTTCAAAACTCTCGCTGTGCAAGTCGCTTGTGTCCTTGGGCAAGGCACTTTGTCTACGGTTGTCTCTCTCCACCCAGGAGTAAAAGTGGGTACCTGGTAGGTTCAAACACAGCCTGTTTGCCTGTTGCAAATACAGTTGCAACATTATGGAATTCCCTTATGGGGCCTGAGTGTGTGTTCCATATGTGCTTGATCCAGTGATCCGGGGTAATAATGTTTAATAATGTATATAAGTGTACAATAATAATAATAATAATAATAATGAAGGTGGAGATGATAGCAACAACGAGGAGAATAATGTTGATGACGATGAGGATGATTCCCACATAATCACCTATGATGATGGTGGTGGTGGTGTTAATGATGATTTGCATTTTTAACAAAATTAGCATTAAATATAGAAATACAGTAGTACAAATTTAAGAGAAATTTCTATTGTCTTTAATGAAAAATATTGTGCCCTAAAATCCCGAATTTCTCTTTCTTGTCTATTAACTTAATTTCTTTTTCTCCCTATATACCAGGCTCAACAACAGCTCAGATTCCAACATTGAATCAAGCTAAAATAATTGCTTTGCTCGGCATACGCCTCTGTGAATTAAAGAAAGCTGGAGAATTACAGGCCATCCTAAAACAAGAATAGTAAAACTGAAAAACTGAATGATGATTTTATTACTGAAAGCTGCGTTCACATCGGATCCAAACCGAAAGTCGAGCCGCGCTTCTGAGGCGCTGAAACGCCAGCTTTACACACTGAACGCATTTTCTGATCAGTTCTTTATAATCTTTCCGATCCGAAAATTCGGATTGGTGTGAATGCAGCTTAATGCTGCGAGCATTACAACATGAAAAATAATATGTAATTCGTAAGATACAAATGAACATTGATATATGAGGACTACTGTGTGGAGCTAATTAACATGAACAGCAGTAGAGGGGTAGGGGATTGGACAGGCTTGGTCCCCCTGCCGTCCGACGCCACGACGAGGTCGTCGGATTAAAAAATAGTAATATGCCTATCCAAATAACTTTATTTTAATTGCCAATCCCCAATATGTCTAAAAGCACAAGTTCGACTACACGGTACTAGCCACAAAAACTTTCCCGTGAACCCTACAAAGGATTTTTTTTATTACGGGACCTGGACCGAGACTCTAGTCGGCCTACATACCAAACCTGACATGAGGTTTTGATCATGAAGATTATGTCAATGTTCTGATGCTATACAATAATTTGACATCATTATC